TGCAACTAAAACCCGTTGTCCAACACGACGCCAGACGTACAAGCTTGATAGCGTAGTGGTCAGAGTCACATTCACCTGGCCACTCCGCTGGGGTGTCTAAAAAGCAGCTGCGCTTCGGCGGGTTGGCCTCGGCACTGGAGCGACGGAGTATTCGATCCGTCAATCCAGCCACCCGTAATTGGTCGCGGGTGGGTCCTCCTGATTCGTCGGGAGGAGATGATAAGTCCTTTGAAGCTGGCCCTTAAACAAGCTGTATGTTTGGTAGAGAGCGCCGGACAGCGGGTGTACATTTGGTACAGACCACCCCGCGAAAAGCAAAGGCTCTCAAGGCAGAGAGAGACTGTCAAACCCGCCCTTCAAGCCCGGCCCATATACAGACGAGAACCCCTGGGGTCGCCGCCTGTAAAGCACCGGTTCCCCCGATCCACCGAAGTTGCAGGCGGCCCTCCGATCTCGGAGGTGGGAGAAGGGCCCCCCTTTTTTCTTCTTTTTTTTTCGATTTTTGTATCCGGGGGGGGGGATGCATTGCGCCTAGGCTTTTTGTATCCCCCTCCGGCCGGCCGAGGGGATACTCCTCGCCTAGGTTCTTTGTATCCGGGGGGATGCATTGCGCCTAGGCGACGTGCATCCTCCTCCGGCCGGCGGGGGATACAATAAGCCTAGGCAAAATGCACCCCGGGGTACATTTCGCCTAGCCGCATTGTACCCGGGGTACAATTCGCCTGGCACCTAGGCGCTTTGTACCCCTGGGTACATTGAACCTAGTCGTCATGTACCCCAGGGTACTATGGCCCTAGGCGTTGTGCACCCGGGGGTACTCTGCGCCGACGGGTACAGTTCGCCTCCTACACCGGCATGGGGCCGCCCTTGTCACTACACCGGGTTTTTTGCGAGGCGTGTTTGGAGTGCGCTGCACTCCCCGGGGCCGGAAGTCCAAACACACCACGCACAACGCCGTGCACACACACACACACACACACACACACACACAGAGGAAAGAAGTACTCAAACAAGTAATCGGCGGGCAATTTCTGATAAAGCTTATTTTTTCGTGGAAGCGCGACGCGGAGGAATTCCGATCGGAGCGGTTGGTTGATTTAGTAAGACACACTGCCGTTTTGGCGAGCCGTCCCAAAGCCGTCCAGCTGCTGGACTCCAGCATATCGCTCCAGGCCGGCGCCTGGCTGGACCGCCCGCCTCTCCCCGCCCCGCCCCGCCCCGCCCCGCCCCGCCCCGCCCCGCCCCGCCACACCGCGCGGCCTGGTATGGTGCCGGATCCTGATAGCCTTTACAAAACGAGAAGTGCAGGTCACCTCAAAGCGCCCCTGCCTGGCGGCACTGCTCGAAAAACAAACTCACTCAGCAAAAAATATATGCGTTAATAATAATTAAAACTGCGAGTCGTGGAATGCGAGCCGAAATTATTTGAAGCGTCTGTTTCTGGGAACACTAGTCCAACGCCGCTTCGGAGACACTGCTTTTACTTTATCAGCACAATCAAGAGGGATCAAGTATGTTAACCACAGAGACTAACCCGTACCCGACCTAATCGTCAGATAACATTATGCCACCACATTGCAGCCCTCCAAAATCGGCGCAATCCAGAAAAGTTACATAAAATAAATGAACGTGGCTGGATAAGCGGCCGCGGTGTTTGGCAGTGTGCCGCCGCGACACCCGGCGCCACGGCGCGCCAGGTCGCCGAGGAATTCCTTATGTCTTGAGTCCTGCGTGTCCGGCTCGGCTGCGTCGCTCTGTCTCTCTCGCGCTCATGGGGCGCCCCGTAGGGGTGCGAGAGAGACAGAGCGACGAGGACGACCCTCGGAATCAGCCTGCAGGGCCGGGCCGGGCTGGGCGAGGATCCGCGAAGACGACGAGCACCGAGCGGAGAGTGCGTCAAAGCGTTCGCGCGGAACCTTGTTATTACTCCCGGGGTATTTTTATTCCAGCGATTTGAACCGCCATCGGCGTGCCTTTTCGCTCTTTTGGCGTTTCGATAAACTCGGTGGATGCGACCTGCAGCCCCGGAGGCCGTTCCCAGCTGATACACTCACACGCGTTGCAGACCGAATCTGCACACCGCTGTCATCGCTCTCGCCCTCGTGGGGCGGCCCTGGCTGCAGGTGCGAGAGAGACGGACGATGCGCTGGGCGCGTGTCCCAAAGGTGCGAGAGAGACGGACGATGCGCTGGGCGCGTGTCCCAAAGGTGCGAGAGAGACGGACGATGCGCTGGGCGCGTGTCCCAAAGGTGCGAGAGAGACGGACGATGCGCTGGGCGCGTGTCCACGATTCGGCCCTGGATGACGGCGTGCGCGATGACGACCACGCTCCGCCAATCGGCAGACTGATTCCGAGGGTCGTCTTCGTCGCTCTGCCTCTCTCGCACCTATTCTGGACGCCCCATGGGTGGGGGAGAGACGGAGCGACGACTCTCGGAATCAGTCTGCAGAGAAGCCAGATCCGGGAGCCGACAAGAGTCTCGCCTCGCGGCCGCGTGCACGTCGCAGTGCAGCACGCCTTGCACACACCGCGCGTGCAGCCACACTGCGTGCGGTCAGACGGCCGGCCCACATTATTATTATATATTGTCGCTGCGGCCTGCGCGGGGCAGGTTAGTGGACATGGACGTGACACACCGAGGGGCACTGCAATGTCTCAAAAGAAAAAAAAAGTGTTTCGAAAAATGAAAAAAAAAGGCAAAAGTGCACACTAACAGCTTTTAAAGTTTATCTTTAGGCACGAAGTAGTTCCCCCCGGGGCTGGATTTCTTTTCCCAAAGTGGTCCCTTATGCAATTTCGAAATTTTCTTTACGAGTTTGGTAAGACTTGGCGGAGAAGAAGAACCTTTGTACCCTGATTTCAGTGCTGAAGTCTTTGTCGAAAACTGCTGGACCAATGTTTTTTTTTAAAGCAGTATTCTGCTTAAAACCTAACGAAGTATTTTGAGCATACATAGTACAAACTACCCGATACCAAGAAATATTTCGCAAATCACTAAGTATTTTCTTTGTAAGCATATGTATGCTCAAAATACGTTGTAATAAGAAGCTGCTTTCCTTCGTAAGGCCTAAAATAGTTTGTAAGGTTTTCTGAGTGCTAAAAGAGTTTTTATCAACAGAATAGAGACGGGTTCCGCCCGCGCGCCGCCTCACGAGCCCGCCGCGTGGCAGCGTGTGGCAGCATGTGGCGTCGGGCACGCGTTCCAGCATGGTTCCAGCATGGTTCCAGCGTGGTTCCAGCTCCCAGCGCTTCCAGCAAACACCTCGCGGCGGGTGAAATCCCAAATACCGCCGCCCAGCGCGGCCCGCGCGGCCTGCCACCGCCACCGCCGCCACGGACAGCGCGGCCCCCGGCCATTTCTACTCTTGTCAACAGTCGTTAAGGCATGTGGTAATTTGGTCGCGGAGCCGCGGGCCTGGAATGAATAGCAGTGCGATAGCAGACGACGTGATTTGACGTCAGGGTGGAGGGGGAAGGGGTCCAGAATGCACGCTGCTGTAACGCAGCGCATCAGGCCGCCGGGCCGGAAGACCCGAGGCGGACTCTGGGCACGTTCCGTTTCCACTCGTCAAAATGGGCCGAATTCAACACACACTGTGGGCCAGAAGACCGGTGGAGGCAGACAAAATTCTAGACGCGTTTTGGAGCTCCAATGAAGCTGTATGGGACTCGAACCGAACGCGTGGCCCGTTCAATGGATCGCTCTCCGAACGAGGAATCCATTGGAGGGGTCACAGCGCGCTCGGGTGGTTGGTTCGAGACAAAGTTACCGACTCTGAAAGTCAAATGTCTGCAGGTACGTTGCGAGTGCCCCTTCCCTTCTCGAGGGCCACCCCGGCGCAGAGCTGCGTGATTCACCGCTGCCGGGTGCACGCCACACGACGCGACGACTCGACGGCGTGTGTTCCGCGTGAGTCGGCGCGGCGGTCGGCGGCAGCAGACTCATTCAGAGAGTCGTTGTCGTCGCTCTGTCTCTCTCGGACCCACACGGGGCGCCCCGATGAGTGCGAGAGGGGCAGAGCGACTCTCGGAATCGGTCGTCGGGCCTCGGCCGGTCGAGCCGAGCCTCCGCGCTAAGCACGATTTAATACTCGCCGAGGTTCTGGGGGCATTCCTAAACCGCAGGCGGCGTGCGGGCTGTGCGGCATTGCGCATGCGGCGTGCAATCCGGCGTCGCCGTCCTCAACACGCGCGGCTGCGTGCGAAGCGTGCGAGGCGGCCGCTCCATAGTAAGGCCGCGGCGGTCGCGTGCGAGACGGGGATGGACGTGGGCGATAGGCGGGCAGCGCTTGTCGCGCTCAGTGAAAATTTAAACGAGTTGGAAATTCGGAGACGCCGCCTGCGAGACGGCGGGTGGACTCGCCCGCTGCGCAGGGCTGTGCTGCGGCGCGGCCTACCCCGGCGCCTGGAACGCCCGGCAGGGTGGGCCGGCCCGCCGGACTGCCCTTGTGCGTGGAAGCCTACCCGACGTCCTGCAGGCGCTACACCAGAAAGATAGTGGTTTCTCTAGTCGAGTTTCTTGAGTTTTTCTGTTTTCCTGTGATTTCTGGATCCCTTGTCAGGAGCCTTAGACTTTTAGGGACCCGTGTCAAGAGTCCTCGATTCTTTGACCCCTTGTCAAGGGGCTGCCTCCTCAGTCAGTCCAGCTCTGGACCCGCCACTGTGATGATGATGATGGTGAGATGGTGATGAGGAGATGGTGAGATGGTGATGAGGAGATGTTGATCGTGAGGAAGATGATGGTGAGGACGGTGATAAGGATGATGATGTTGATGATGAAGATGACCAGGTCGGCGTGAACCTCCCCGCGAGGCTTGCGAAGGGCTGCAGCCTCCCCCGACCTTGGGCTGGGCCTGGGCCGCTGGGCCGCTGGGCCCGGAACGCTTGTCGACGGTGCAGCGCGGTGCGGCGCGGCGTGGCGCGGCGCGGCGGCAGCCGGCCCGGGCGGAGCGCTGCGGCGCTGCGGCGCGCCCCGCCGCCAGTCTCTAGTCAGCCAGCGGCCCGTCCACACCGCGTCTGAGAGAGAACCCCGCGCCAGGCTCGCGGCGGCCCGTACCGCACGACAGAGCTCACCCAGCTGGTCCAGTACGGCCAACGTGTCCAAACGAGCTCTAGTTTTCGAACAATTTGTGTCGTTTTCGCCCCCAACCGTCCTGTGCGCGTCAAGAAAAAATCCCCGTCAAGAAAAAAGTCTTCGGACTGCCAGAAAAGTTTTCCAGGGCGCACGCCTCCTGGATAATGACAGTGTCGCCCTGGAGTGGACATCCTAGTGTTAAGTCCATGTAACCGTCATTACTAGTGAAGTAACTTCAGTGAGTGCTGTGAAGGCCAGAAGGCGCCAGAAGGGGGACCCTCGTCCCGTGGCAAGTTGGACGCCAAGCACCCTGTGCCCAGTGTCAAAGTGCCAAACATGTCGAGTGTCAGCCGGTCTGGCTCGCCCACCCCCAGCATGGACAGCGACGTCAGAGTTCCTGTGAGTATCCGTTTCCAATTGGCTTGTCTGTTGCTCTGATTGATGTGGTTCTGGTTGAAGGGCAAACATAGATACAACTGTCACTTTGACAGCCGCCGGTGGTGCGAGGGGCGTAGAAATGTAGCAATCAACTTGAGCGACACTGCTGCACCTAGCACGGCGTTACTGCTTGAGAGTGCATCAAACTGCAGCACGATGCCTCTTGACTGTACAGCAGCAGCTACGCTACCCGCGATTGGTTTGAAGCAACTTGCAACGCCGCTGCACCGGCGCCACCGCCCTTCTCAATGTCGGAACACTGCTTTTACAGTGGAAAAGATCGGTTCTGCCGACCGCAGCGAGCGCCCTCTTGCGTGGGAGGGCCGCGCCGGCCCCTTGGGCCCCTTGGGCCCCTTCGGCATGCAACGCGAATTGCCGCAAGTGCGCCGGCCTGTGGCCGAAACGCTGCCTCGTCGCTCTCTCTCCCTCGCACCCCTGCGGCACGCCGGGCACGCCCCACGAGTGCGAGAGAGGCAGAGCGGCGGTCAGCGCGCAGGCCGGCCCCCGCGGCCCGCAGCCCGGCACCGCCCCGCTAAGCCAGGCCGCTAAGCCAGGCCGCACTGTTCCGCGTCAAAACCGATCCGCCGGCGTATGAGAAATTCCTAAGTCTGCGGTCGCTGTTCTGCTAACCCGCTCCGTTTAGGAACTGGCCCGTCGGCTGTTCCTGGGAGACACCGAGCCGCAGCGGGGCGGGGCGGGGCGGGGCGGGGCGGGGCGGGGCGGGGCGGGGCGGGGCGGGGCGGGGCGGCCTGGCACCCTGCGGTAGTGCCTGCCGCCGCGGTCACCGAGACTTCGTCGCAAGAAACGTGAAATGCACAAACGGGTGACTTCGGTCGGCCCGAGTCTGGCGATCATCGCCGGCGGTCGGACGCCGAAGCGTCGTCGCTGCAGTACTGGCAACCAACTGCGTACCAACAGCGCTCCGTCGCTCTGTCTCTCTCGCACCCCGAGGGAGTGCACCATAAGTCACCATAAGTGCGAGCGAGACAGAGCGTGCGTCGCTCTGCACAGCCTAGTGACGACTTCATTGCGTCGCGCTCCGAGCTAAGCGGTGCTAGGCCGTTCAGGCGAGCAGTGCGTGTCGCTCTCTCTCTCTCACACACGGCGCGTTCCGAAGGGGTGCGAGAGAGACAGAGTGACGAAGCGCCGTTCGGAAGCAGCCTGCTGTTAATCCGCTCCTCCCTCCGAAACGGCGAGATTGGCCGCCAGATAGCGCCACTACGCTGTGCAGCAGGGTTGTTAACGTTAATTTCAAATTTAACGCGTTAACGTTAATGCGTTAGTCCGGGTGCATTAACTTAACGCGTTAACGTTAACTCGAATTTGAGAATTTAACGCGTTAACGTTAAATTAACGCAAGTAACGCCGTTATCGTTAAAAAATCTTTAAAACCCAACCAGAGAGGGTTGAGATAACGCCACCAAAACGTTATAACAAACGTTCATCACCCATAAAGGAATTAAAGAAACCATAACACAAATATTAAACTAGGTAAAACAGCTTTTGCTGTGTCTAGCACATATATTTTTTGAGAAATTTACCTGGACCGATCGTGCATTAATCCCTACGTTAATACATTAACGGCGTTACGCGTTAAGAGAGTCCATTAACTTAACGCGTTAACGTTAATGGCCCAGACATATTTTAACGAGTTAACGTTAACGTTAATTAACGATTAACGCCGTTACCGTAACGCCGTTAATCGTTAAATTAACGTTTACAACCCTGCTGTGCAGTGCAGTGCGCTCCAGTTTGGCGGACACTGTTCCACGCGTCGTGGAGGTGGGCGCGGCAAGGCGCGGCGGCCCTGCCTTCCGGGTGGACGTCCACTGGACGGCATTGGCATATCATTAGGCGCAGATCAATCAATCGCTCGGGCAGTGGTGGCACTTTCCTCTCCCAGTGGAGCGGTTCGCCACCTCCACGTGCAGCAGCACGCGCCGCTGCCTTTATTTTCGAATTTTTGGTTTTAAAAAATTCGCAGTTTTTTTTTCAATAAACTGACAAGACAAAGGGTCGGGCGCCCAACGGCCTGCATAGAAAAGTGTGGGCGTCGTGCAACCGGCACGTTCTTTTCGGCGCTGCGTTTTTGAAACTCGCGCTCGGCGCGGTTGAGTCATGCGGGGCGCCGCGCCGAAGCCTGGCGAAGCCGCGCTGGGCGGCGGCGGGGCGGACTCACAGGGGCGGCTCCAGATAGCAGCGGTAGATGTGAACGGGCGATGCAAATTACTTTTTGCATCGCAGCCCCGGCCGGCACACAGTGGGCCAGAAGACCGGTGCAGGCGGCCAAAACTCTAGACGCGTTTTGAGCTCCAGAGTCGCTAAATGGGAGTCGAACCGAACGTGTGACCCCACCAATGGATTCCTCGTTCGAAGTGCAATTCATTGGTGGGGTCACACGTTCGGTTCGAGTCCCATTTAGCGACTCTGGAGCTCAAAACGCGTCTTTCATGTTGGCCGCCGGCGCCGGTCTTCTGGCCCACTGTGCGCTGGCGGTGGACGTCGTCGTGCTGCCCGTCAGTGACTCCCCTCGACGGAGAGGCAAATGCGCGGAGAGGCGACGGCGCGGCGACACGAGACTCGCCGTCGTCGTTGCGACTCGGCGGGATTGCCAACGCACGCGGCGAACGGTATCGAAAGAGTAAACGCGACGCTGCGCCGCGCTGTGCGCTGTTCGGCGAGCCTGACCGCAAAACTGCCCCGCCGAAAAAGCCGCGCGCCGCCAGGCTAGCCAACTTCCTTGAGCAACACGCTGCACGGCGGCGGCGGTGGCCGAGGCGGCGGCGGTGCCGCGGTCCACGCTGGTCCACGCGCGCTGACCGCAGTGGATCCCCTGATGAGGAAACACCTTGCAGTAACGACCTTTTTTATTCCTCTTCCATATATTTTTCCAAATTTCGGCCGCGCGATGACGATGACGACGACGCTTGGAGACAGGTTCCTAGCAACATTACCGCGGCTCGCCCCGGGGGTCTGGCAGGGATCACACCGGGGGTCACCGAGGGGCGCCCCGTGCGGCCCCGAGACGCGCCCGCTCTTCTAAGCGACGTCCTAAAGGCCTGATTACCACAGCCCAGGGGTTCTTCGTCCTGGCGCGGCTCCCCCCGAGGCCCAATCAGACGTCCCCCAACGGGGCCAGGCCGGCCGCCGCACAGTGGGCCAGAAGACCGGTGGAGGCGGCCAAAACTCTGGACGCGTTTTTAGCTGCAGAGTCGCTAAACAGGGCTCGAACCGAACGTGTGACCCCACCAATGGATTGCTCTTTGAACGAGGAATCTATTGGTGGGGTCACACGTTCGGTTCGAGCCCCATTTAGCGACTTTAGAGCTCAAAACGCGTCTAGAGTTTTGGCCGCCTCCACCGGTCTTCTGGCCCACTGTGCGCCGCGGAGCGCGGAGCGATGGACGGCGGCAAGGAAGGCACGACTGGCCGTATGCAACAAGGTTACCCTGCGGAAAACTGTTTGAACAGCGCGCCTGCGTCCATTCCCGATTTCTGTCGTACCTGTCCGAGTCGGACCGCCGGCCGGCAGCGCAGGCAGCGGGCAGCCGTGGCGCAAGCTGTTTGAATTAACCGCCTCCCTTCGCCGTGCTGGCCGTGCTGGCCGTGCTGGCCACGCCGACGGCCCTGCTGCCGCCGGCCACGAAGGGGGCGGTGCAATACCGGGCCGGGCGCCGGGCGCCTTGAGTTTCCGTCGCGGCGGAATTTTCAGGCCGCGAGTACGGCGGCGGTGTGCACCACTTCGGAGCGTGAGTACGCCCCGCCCCGCCCCGCCCCGCCCCGCCCCGCCCCGCCCCGCCCCGCCCCGCCCCGCCCCGCCACGCCCCGCGAGCGTGAGATACCTATCACATTGAATCGAACAGGTCGCCGTCTGGCGGCCCTAGCCCTCGCCGCGGAGGCTGTGGCTGGCGGCGGGGGCGTTCCGAAACGCCTCTCGGCACCCGGCCAGGCCGCGGCCAGGGCTAGGGCGGCCAGACGGCGGGGCAGTCCGCGGACTCTATTGACTCGCTGGAAACCGAAAGTAGTGAACGATACCGCACGGCTGTCTGCCGCGCCTGCCGCGCCTGCTACCGTCCAGCGTCTCGTGTTCGCCTTATCGAGCCACTTAGAATGCGTTTCCCCGCCGGCCTTTTCTCCGCTACACTGTCTGCCGCGGTGTCGTTTCTACAGTGCCGTGTCTGCCTCCACCGAGTCTTGCTCGGCGCGCACTCGGGCTCAGTGGACTCTTTTTCTTTACGTCGCAGTACGTACATCTTTTCCGTACCGGCGATGTTTCTTTCCAGTCGCTGGACCGTGGCGGGGCGGGCGGGGGCGGCGGGGGCGGCGGGGGCCCCTCCGTGGGGCGCGGCGCGGGCCAGAGCACAAAGCCCCGCAAAGCGAACACAACCCTAAAGGTCATTCATGTTGAAACGGGCCGGGCCGGGCAGGCAGCCGGCATGGCCAAGCGCGGCTCGGCTCGCCACGGCGCGGCGCGGCGCGCGGCTACGCAAACTGATCGGGGAAATTAGTCAACGAAGCGGCGGCTTGCAATGCGATTTGCCTGCTCGCGGGCCCCCCAACGAGGCCCCCAGCGAGCCCCCGCGACCCCTATGGCAACACGGGCGCCGCGACGACCCGCGCGGCCCCGGCGGCACGGCGGCACGGCGGCGCCGAACTACATTTTCGTGTCACCGCGCGGCCCCGCGGCTCCAGTCCCCAGCGTCGCCTGTCAAGCAGGCTGTGTCGATGTAGGGCTGTGTGTCGTCACCCAGTGCCCACGCAGCCGGCCGCTTGGAAGGGCTCTGTCGTGACTAAGTAAGTCTGCGCCTGTGTTAGTGCTTCTTCGAATCGCGGTGCGAGTGTGTGTGTTTGTCTCTGTGTTTGCTTGTGTGTGTGTGCGTGCGCTGGGCTGTCCGTCACTGGCGGTTTACCTCGTCGTCACCTCCGAGACCCTGTGAGTCAACAAACGCAACCCCACCTCG